ACGACGTACGAGACGAGAGTAGTAACGTAAGACGACGAGTAAGTAAGTAAGAAAACGAAAACGTAAACGTAAAACCAAACTAAACTACTACGACTAGTAGAGTAGTAGTAACTACTCTCTCTCTCTCTCTCTCTCTCTCTCTCTCTCTCTCTCTCTCTTCTCACTTGCTGCACCTTGATAATGATGTATATGCATGATTATAAAATATTCTGAAAGTACCCCATTTATTTTGGCCACCTGGGTTTCTAGAAGCCCACCTAGATGGCCACATTCGAGAGAAAGACAAATAATTATGCAAAGAGCGAGTATATATAGAGAGAAATGTGCTCATATAATGTTCTCACCTAGGATTTACTGATAAAGACAATTTTACTAGGCGAGCAGTTAGGTGGGTGCAATAGATAGGTCCATGTGACCATTTCTTGCTTAATCCACCATAATGATCATAATGGAAGTGGCTAAGGAAATATGCAGCACATCCCTCAATAAGACCGTAACGAAATGCATCAACAGTGAATGGGGTCCCTGCAGTGCATAGCAGAAATGCCTGAAGTTTGTTTTAACAAAGTAAGGTCAAAAACGAAAGTAACATACTTGTCAGTTATCACATGTGCACACACATGTAGACGTTAAAACTTTATTTATCTCACAAACAATTGCTTAATGATATTAACTTGCCTGATGGAATTTCGATATCTTCACAATTACATAATGATATACACACACACATTGCAGGTTGGTTATTCGTTGGCACGGGCATAGCTTACGATGTGTTTGGAAGTCCTCGACAAGTATTTCATAGAGAGTCGACAAGGGATTCCATTAATAATTGGCCGTTTCGATTCATTGGAACAACTTGATGAATTAGTAGATCCTTTTAGTTGGTCCCAATCACCATAGATAGAACCTATTTGACTTTTACAGTGAGATGGTTGGCTCTTCACGAACTAGTTGTACCTATAGTTTTTTTCTTAGGGTCAATATCAGCAATGCAGTCCATCCAACGTTTATTATTCCGGAAGAAGGTGATTTGATTCAATCAAAATAGGGATGTTGTGACTATGTTGGGTCTCCTATTGCCTCCCGCACTATAAACGCTATGGAATGTGTCACTACTTTCTTTCTATTCTATTGTACGTACCCAATTGGCGGTGAGGGGAGGAGGATACAAGGGATAAATGAAAGTAACAAGTGATTCTAAGAATCATTATTCGTCTCCCTAATCTTCTACGAAATCAATCTTCCGATCCTTCATTGTGTCAAAATAATGTATTTATATATATTCTAACCAAGTATATAAATATATTTGTGCCCAGCATGGCCCACTTTGGAACGGATCGGTTGCTTTGGCCCCTTAAGCAGGGCAGGGCAGCTGCCTAGGCTCTAGGCAGGCTTTTATGCAACAGTGATCTTAGGATTGTAGCATGGGATGTTGTCGGTTACTTCTATTCCAAGTTAAATCATATCTATTTTGATGGCACTTTGAAATAAATTCAAAACATATGGGTAAAATGTTACATAGTTAATCTCACCAGTGTATTATGACAAATTTCCCTTTTATTTTAATCCTAATTTGATATATTTTTCTAAGCTTATTTGAAATTTTTTGGCCTTTCCTTTTCTTGGAGAAAGGTTAACTGCAGTTTAAAGTTTAAACATCATAGTGTAATACAAAAATACTTATAGGCAACCCGCAAGATATTTGGCCTTTTTGGTTGTTTTTGGTTTTATTTTACCTTTCTATTTTTTATTTTTTATTTTTTAAGGCCTTTTGACCTTGTACATTACTTAGGCGAGTTCACTCGAACTCCCTCAAGTAACTCCCCTTGGGCCAAGGCCAAGTACCTGGGCCGAGGCAAGTCTCAAAATGATGCACAAGAGAAACACATACATGCATACCATTTTTTTTTCCCCTTTTTCTTCCTTTTGTGTGGCTTTCCAACCAAAAAAATTTTAAGTAGTAACAATTTCAGAAGATTCTATATCAAGCATAACGGGTTTCCAGTTCATTGGTAACCACAATCAAACTGTCAAAGAACCAATCCTTCAAATACCTGGAGGATGTGAATGTTCTCCCCAATTATTTGATCAAATATTCAGATTCACAGAAGTAGTATTTGCAAGAACATGTAGTTCAAGAAGAGCATAAGCTACCTCAGTTTTTTATCAAATATGCAGATTCACAATTTTTTTTGCTGTAATTGACTGGCAGAAAAATAATTTCGCTGCCATTCGCAGAAAGCTAAATGCTTTAAACAGTCAATGGGGGAGATTAGGATGATTGAAGAAATTTGCAGTTAGTCATCCGTGAGGTTCTCAAATAATTTTATCCATAGCAAATAAAAATGAATTGTCACAATTAATTGTTGTTATCAAATTTTTCATGACGTTTTTAAAGAGGGATCTCAATAACTTAAATGTCTTTTTCAGTAGATCATAAATATAATAAAGCTAACCTCTCTGCACAAAGCAATATGTTCTAATATTACAAAATGATTTTTTTTTATTATCAACAAGAAGCCAATTGGCATGGTCAGATTCTAACGGCAAGCTAAGTTTAGATTACCATGAATTTTCTTGTAAAATGGGCAGGTTCGCTGCTGATTAGAGTTTGGATTGATTTCATCACTGGATCGAAGAAGCTTTCTCCCACTTTGATCGTCTATGGATTCTAAATCCACTGTTCTCTTCCTTGAAGGGGCCAACTTCGTCTCATTCTTGGATTGAACCGGTTTCTTCAGACCCCATAGTTTGAATAGATCAGCCTGTACAACCTTCTTGGACGAAGAACTCGCGATTTCTGGCTTCAAATCAGATAAATCCTCTTGAACCAAGCAAGACCAATCTGATCCAGACCTGTAAAAAGCTTCAGCAAAGCTTTCATGGCCAGCGTTGCCCTCCATACCTGCTCCTTCAGCAACTTCTTCACACAAAAAATCAGAAAGGAGGAAACCATTCTCATCCAACTCCTCAAATAAGCTCGAATCCAGAGCTTCAGATGTCTCCATTAATGGCAAAATGAACCTGGATTTGCAGAGGTTCCTTAATTCCTTCTATGGACGATAATTAAGGCTTCCAAGGGGAGATGCAAAGGTTTCTACACTGAGAATTAGGGTTTGCTGAAGTTTGAAACCGTGATACTAATGGGTGGAGAAAAAAAAAATCAGGGCAACCACTTATAGGAAATGCTCTGGTAAAGGCCTCAGTCATAAGGGTTTTTGACCCATTCCTTAAATTTGAAGTAAACAAATAATGGCGGGAAAGAGATGGGTGAGGTGGCCTTACGACTTCAAAGAGTTGGGTCGACTGGCGTTTGAGCCCCGTTGAGTAGGTCAAGCCCGACCCGTCCTGAATTTATCTAGGTCGGAGTGGGACAGAGACACAGAACAGACCTAGTTCCTGGTCCATGCAAAGTGGACTAAACCCAACCATCTGGGTCTATTTTATGGGTTCGGACCAGGACTTGGGTCTAGTTGACTAATTCGAGTTAACCCCGATCCATTTGACCCCCCATGCCGCGCTTTGGTTTCCAGCTGAACTTAGGCAGCCCCATCATGCCTACATGCTCTATAGGGTGGATTCGTTGGTCTGTGTCTAAAAGTTTGGGTCATGTTGGTCCAAACTTAGCCCAACTAGAATTTGGCATATTTGTTTTTTTTTTTTTTTGGTAATTCAATAGGGATCTCTACTAATTTTTTAAATCGTTAGTGGTTTTTTAATGCGTTTGGTGAGAGTGACAGTTTAGACTTTAGTTGGGGCACAAGTGGTCCTACCACCACGACCCCAACCCCATTCCTTTCATTCTTGAGAAATACAGCTTAGACCCTAGTTGTGGCACGAATGGTGTTACCACTACGACCCCAACCCCGTTCTTGAAAAAACTAGTACATCCGTTGGGTTTTGGGCCCTTACTTATTGGTGAGAATGAAGTTAGAGACCTCATCATGAGGCTCAGCAATACTACCGCAAAGGCCTCAATCCATTATCTTTGGCATGTTGGCTGGGCAACCATGAAATGTAAGACTGCCATTTAAGCTAGACTAGCCTCTAGCCTCTAGGGTTGAGAATTTACCCTATTTGGATTCGAAACCTGAAATTTAGATCCTATCTGGATCTAGGTGGATCTAAAATTTGGAACCGATTGGTCAAATCTAGATCTAAAATTCGGACGCGCATAGTAATTCAGATCGGATCCGAGTACACATGGATCCGACCTAGTTATTAAAATAATATATAGTATATAGTATGTTTATAACATTTTATTTTGTAGATATAAAATAATTTGTTTGGATACAATTGGGTCCAGATCCAGATACAAATCCCATATATACTTTTTTGTATCTTAATCCGGATCCAGACCTGATCTACCAATTCTCACCCCTAAATTTTCCCCATGCAAGCCCAATTTTAGTCTCAAACACCCTGACTAGACTCTTAGGCCAGAATTAAAATGGTTCTGAGAGGCACGCATAGCCAAGAAATATGGGCCAGGCCACGCCAGGACACCTTAGCCCAGCCCAAGCACAATCCATCAACTACTACAGTAATGAGGTCATCGCTTTGAGGGTGGCATGTATACGTGATGTGTATTAGTTTATAGTTTATACTATATGTGCTGGATGATCCACCGTCTAGTCTTACACATAAATACTGTAGTGATGAAAAGGGTGAAAAGTTGGTGGCTCATCTCCGCCAGACGTTGTGAAAATGGACAGTGGATAAGCTGCATGTGCACCTTATCTTCTTTGATATAACTTCTTCCCCAGTGTAGGTATTAGTACCTTGTGGCACCTCGCACTCTATGACAATGGAGGCCTGCAAAGTCCATTATTGGACATGCAAAAAGCTTTTGACATGCTTTTCCCATAATAGGGCAGGAATAACATGATTTTTTTAATAAATCACCGATTAATATTACAAATCGGCTTATTAGTCTTGCAAATCATCTAATTAAGATTGATTAGTGTATAAATTAGCCGATTTGTACAGTAAATCAGCCAATTAATGCACTGTAAAAGTATGTCCCAAAGGATGGCTTATGAAATTGAGACTCCTTGGGCTCGGCCAGTGCCCAAGTCTGGGTTAATTAATGACTTGAAAAAAGTTGGCCGACTTTTCCAACATTGATATTACTTCACTTAGGTAGGGTTCCATGGTGGACTCTATAGAGGAGAGTCACATCTCTTTGGATTTTACTCCATTTTGGTCACGAAGTGATCGCTTGCATGGGCATGGTAGGAAGTATCTCTTTCACATAGGGTTAATCAACTCCTTAAATCATAAAGCAATGGGTTATATTAGAGTGTTCACATTTTGGAGTAAGTTATCACTGTACTCAACAAATTTGGACATTTATATACATTTGTTTTGTACATGAGCATCCTAACATAGCCCTAAAACAATAACCTTTCTTTTGACATGTTAATCGTAGGAATGGAAAGCAGGACACTATGTCGAGACATCGGCCCCAACCCCATTTCTAGTCATCAAAGGACATAACTTTATCTGCTTTTGGCTAAAATAAAATGTGGTATCTATCCTTATTATATCATTGGTGGGATTGGGAAAATCACTTGAACTCTTAGAAACTTAAGTTATAATATCTTGAAGTTGAAAAATGCTTGTTTCATGTCTTGAAGAGGGGTGGCTGAAGGGGTGGGCTTTTGGTAGAGTTTCAGGAGTTCCCCAAAGCCATGACAATGAGGCCAGTGAGTTTCCACCTCGCCCGGAATGAGGCCAGTATTTTCCACCTCGCCTGGATTTTATGCATCTTCAGGATCACTATCGCTACACCCCGTTATCAAACGCGAGATTTCCTACAATTTCGGGTCACCGGGATGCCAGTTGGGCCCAGGTCTGGGTCATGCCCACTGTCAAACCAGTATTTGAAAATGTGGACTTGCTTGGAATCCAATTTCAAATGTACTATTGATTTAGAAATGAAAAGTCATTAGAATAAGGGAAATCCACTCTCTTAAGGCACATTTATGGGTCTTTACGAGGAACGATTCGTGCAAGGGAGAAGAATCCTTGTATTAAAAGTCCCCCAAAGGAAACCTTCACAAAGGTTTAAATTTTCACAAGAAAGTGAAAACGAAAGAGACAAAAGTTGGAAGTAGAAGTCTATTAAGGCACCCTCCCTGCATGGTAGAAGTAAGGCACATCTTTGAAATTTATTTAGAGATGCAATTATGGTATCAGAAATTTTATGATGATCTAAAAATCTATTTTTATCTTTAGTTATAAAATTTTAAATTCAAAAAATTGTACGGATCGAGCAGATTGATAAATACTTAAAAATATTGGAAATAAACGATCTGGATAATTTGTTATAAGATGCACTATTTTTAAGACTTTAAATTCATTTTTTCTTTATATTCATATATCTCGAGGTCGAGTAATCAATTTGAGTGTTTTCCAAAAACATATCACTTTAGAGGATTTTTTAGTCACATCTTACTTCAATGGTATAAGTTTGACCTATTGTATAAACTTTTACCTTTTTTACGAAGAAAGGTTTTCCATGCTAGCATTTGATTTTCCTACCACGTATCACTTTCACCCTTGGATGTCAGCAAGGAATCGTCGATTTCAATCCACTACTCAATGTAAAACAAAAAAATTGATCTAGTTTGAAGAGGATACAAAATATGGAGATTTAAGACCTCTCTAACGGTATGACCTTTAATATAGCAGAATTGTGGTTGAGGATTCGTATAACCGGCCTCAATTAACTAGAAAAAAGTTATAATGATGATGCTGATGAGTAGAAGGACATACTTTAACCGTCTATCATTGACATCAAAAGTTGAAAAAAGCAACTTTTATTCGTAAAAACTAAAATGTACGTATAAAAAGCCTCTTTGCATTAAAATACGGTCTCCATTGGGAATCACATATCCAAGTCGGTCGTCTTGCCAACACCCCTCAATTTTATCATTTTAATATTTTTGAATCAAATTCTCAATGATTTTGTGATTCATGATTGCCGATTCGACCGATCAGGACTAGAGAGGGTGGGGGCGATCCAAAACTCGATTGGAAGCTTTAAAACACCCATCCAAACTATCAGGTGAAAAGGGTACAAACGATATTTTTGAATTCATGGCCGAGGCTCTAAACAATCAAATTTAAGTCTGTCTAAAAAATTTTATTAAAAAAAGTTGTTTTGATGATCAAATATCATCAAAATGATCATCTCGACATCAAGATGCATGGGCATGAGAAAAAATGAATTTCAAGTTTTAGAAATAATGTATTTTATAACACATTTTTGAACCGCCAATTTTCAATATTTTCAAGTTTTTATAGATATATTGATTTACACTATTTTTGAAGCTTTGAACACTATAAATAAAGATGAAAATATATTTTAAGGCAATAACTAAGATTTTCAATATTAAAACCCCATTTCTCAATACTATTTTAAGGTAGGCTCTAATTTGATTGGTTAGAGCCCTAGGCCCTACACAAACTGCACCCTTTTAGTATTTGTTATTGTCAATCTTGATTTCTCAACTGCTCTCATGAATCCTGAGAAACCAAACCATCTGCAACTGTGCGTGATTGAGCAATTCCTCCTTCCATATGCGGTTGCAGGGAGAGATATATATAAATATAGAGAGAGAAATTTAGAGAGAGAAGCGCTCTTTTTAATACTCTCTCTCTCTCGCTCTTCATTGATGCATTGCACTCAATTGATTTAGTTCTATCATCATTCATCCAGCTTAAGACCCCAGGTAATTTTACCAGCTTTCTTTTCCCCTTCTTCTCTTGAATTCTCTTCCTTCCCTCTTTTCACTTTCATGCGAAGATCTGTGATGGAACTGTAGAATTTTTACTGTCGTTTTAGGGCATTGTGTTTCCTGGTATTGCACTTCCATGTGAATATAGGATCTGTGTTATTTTTTTCTTCTTTCTTTCTTTTTCTCTTGGATGGTTCAATATTGATTTCCATGTTTAATCTCTGGTGAGTATGTAATTTATTTGCTTTATTAGATCTAAAAGTTACTGAATGGAATAGAAGAAGAAACGGCATTGAAGCATGATCCAATTTCTTTTGTCTTTTTATTTGCAATGCCAATTTTCTGCATTGATTTTTTGGCACTGTATGATGAATTTTGAGAATTTGGATATGAACGCATTACATAATGAGGTGGAATGAGATCTGGTTTTTATTACTCATTGCAGAGAAGTTCTTCCTTCTGTTGTAGACCTTGTTTCTTGTGATGCTGCTTTATACCCACTAATTATTCTCACGGAGTTTTATTTCGATAAATATCTAGTGAGCAGTGACTAGAACTTGGCCGAGTCTGTGTGGACTTGGCCCGAGTTTCTCAGATTCGGCTCCTTACAACTCAGGCCACCTGATAAAACAAAAAGATCATAAGAAATATGAAAACAATATGGAACCAATGTTTAAAAATTATGTATGTAATTTTTTTTCAATGATTTGTGAAATTGTCTTTTCATATGCCCTATTTTTATAGTTTCTTCTTCTTTTGGATTTTTCTAAAAATCTCCAACCATAAATCAGTTTTTCTAAATCCATTAATTACAGCCCTATTTTTATACTTTCCTCTCTTTTTTTGGATTTTCTAAAATTCTCCAACCATAAATCAGTGTTTCTAAATCCATTAATTACACTCTCACAAACACACACATACATGCATGCACACACACCCATATTTTTAGCTTTTTGAACCTTTTATGTTGCCCTAGGTTTTGTTTCACTTTAAAAAAATTTATTTTATTTATACTCAGCATTTATTTTTATTTTCCTTTTAGGCCTTCTGGCCCTGCACACGACTAAGGCCACTCAAACTCTACCAAGTTACTTACCTCGGGTCAGGGCTGAGTCCAATGCCACCCAATGGATTTTGATTACTTTCTTCTTTTTATGGCATGAAGAAAATTTCCCCTGCTTTGATGGTTTGACCTTCTTAATTGTTGTAGTTGCTTTTTATGTAGAAAGTGTTCCTAAGAATTTTGTCATATAAATTTGGGATCTTTCTCTTCCAGGTATTCTTTCATCTCTATTGATCTTTGTGAGATTTCTCTTGAAAATTTATCTGGCTCCAGTAATATCAATAATGATGGGTAGGAATCTTTTTTGCAGTAAGTGAGCCTTTAGTTTGATGTCTTGGGAGCTCGATAACTTCTCATGGGTGGAGTGGATATCAATTGCATATAGAGGAACTTCTATGAACGTTTAAATGGGAGATTGGATAATTGGTGCTGTCATCAATCTTATTGGCAGTATCGGCATTAATTTTGGGACAAACCTTTTGAAACTGGGTCATAACCAGGTATTGTTTTGTATCATTGGGCTTATTAAGGCTGATTCCTTCAATATCACATTTCAAAGCTCTTTTGTTTATTTTAATGTAATCATTGAATCATACTTCATTTTAGCAGCATATAGTAGCTCTGTTATTAGTTCCCTACACAGTGTTGGCTTTGTATGAAACCAAAATTATTAATACTAATCCACAATCATCATCATCCAAGCACTATACCAATGATTTGGAGTCGGCAACATGAATCATGTTCCTCCATTCTTTTCTATCAAAGGTCATACCTTCAGTAAGACCAAAATAGGTTCAGGATTCATGATAAGATATGGCACAATTTTATGCAAGCTGCCTACTTAACACGACCCACCTTATGTGGGCTTGGGATGGATTAAGGGAAAGTTTAAGGTCCTCATCCTTATTAGACCATAATACTAATCCACAGTGGATAATAAAAATGCTCTGATCTAGGATGGACTTCATTTACACGCTTGAAGTCATTCTAATGAAGTTGTTTTCAAACTTGTCATATAGAGAGAGAAACTAGCAATTCTGCAAAGCTCTGGGAATGGAGGAAAGGTTATCTTGAAGCCAATTATTTATTTCCGGACTTGGCAATTTGGTACGTCATGCAGTAAATTAACCATTACAAGATGTTTTATCTACTTATAGCGTCTGTATTTGGTGTTATAGAGTCGGAGGTCACGGAACACCATTGAAGATTAATAAGCATCGGCTTTTCATGGTTTGCGTCCTTGCTACTCAGGTCTGCTGTTTTTTGCACTGGGGAACTGTCTGAACTTCATTTCCTTTGGATATGCAGCGCAGGTAGGAAGGTATCATATGCTAACAATGCCAAGAGTTATATATATAACCAGAGAGAGAGAGAGAGGTTCAAACTAGTTTTAATCTTCAATTATTGCAGCACTACTGATTTTGCTTCTCTCCATTTTAGTTTTATTCAGTTTTCTCAACTAACATTTTTTTTTCAAATCTGCAATGCTATATGTTTTCAGTCACTTCTTGCAGCGTTGGGGTCAGTTCAGTTTGTATCAAATGTTGCATTTGCTTACTTTGTTCTGGACACAAAAGTTACAACAAAGTATGTTCTTCTAAGTAGTTCGATACAAACAATGGTATCTATCATATTCATTTTTCTTTGCATCATCTTTGTATTTAACAATATTCCACCTATTACACAGGGTCATGCTTGCTACTGTCTTCATTGTTCTCGGGAATATATTCCTTGTTGCCTTTGGCAATCACCAATCACCTGGTAGGTAGTCCAACAATTAGTGTAATGATCAATGTTGCATGTTCAGTCTAATTATTCAATCTTAATACTGGTGTAACTAAACTGTTTCTTTTGTAGTTTACACTCCTGAGCAGCTAGTGGAGAAATTTAGCAATCTGATATTCCTTCTTTATTGCCTTGGCCTGATCTTGGTTATTGTTTTTAATCACTTAATATATAGGTGAGGCTCCATCTTCTATATGAATTTTCCATTTGTTTTTTGTAAAATTATATAACAGTGCCTTGGACAGCTATGTATGATATGCAGGTTTCCTGGAAACTCATAGCTATAAGTAGGTGCTCAGATAGATCTATCATTTCTCCTTTGTTTTCTTTCTTTTCCCTTTTTACCATTCTGCCCCACCCAATCTGGTGCGCAAACCTTTTGGTTCCTAAAAGAAAAGTGTAGTATGAAATGTTAAACACCAAGACGGTTTCTCATGTTTAAGCATTTTGACATTCTGTATGATTATGAGCTTCTGGGGCACCTGTATCACATGCACGTCATAGGCATTGTTATGTAATTTTGTTTTCTTTTTTTGTTCCTTTTCTTTTTCCATTAGTCTTGAAATACTATAGAATAAAAGTAGGCATGCAACCCTAACCAGAATCAACTTTACAGGCGAGGTGAGCTTCTACTTTCATCTGCTGGGCATGACCTCAAACCTTATTGGCCCTTGCTATTGCCTTTCTCATATGCTATTGTTTCTGGCGCACTTGGCTCATACTCAGTATTATTTGCAAAGTCATTGTAAGTTTATTCTTCAGAATGATACAATGTTGAGCCGTAAATGAAATTTCTTCTTTCCTCTTAATTTTGGAAAAGGTACTAGAATTGGATTTTACCCTTCAATTTCATGCCATTTTGTAAAGTCTGAGCTCCCTCTTTTCCTTAACTTGATAGATCAAACTTGCTGCGATTGACTATGAGCAGCCATTATGAATTTCATAGTTGGTTCACTTACTCCATGCTCTTGTTCTTCCTGAGCACAGCTGGTTTTTGGGTAAGGGCTTATATATTTGGCTCATTTATTGGTGAAGAGTTTCTTTTATTTGTTTTTAGTCAAGATTTACTTATATTCGAGATGAATTGGGATTCCCACTAATACATTATTTTGGTAGTGAGATACACTAATATATTTTTTAATTTCTTGTTGGGTCTTGTAGATGACGAGATTGAATGAGGGACTGGCACTTTTTGATGCAATACTTATTGTCCCAATGTTTCAAATTGCTTGGACCTTCTTCTCCATTTGTACAGGCTTTATATACTTCCAAGAATATCAGGTCTAGAAAATAGCTCTTGTTTCATTCTTGCTTTATGTTTTATCAATGGGGAAGTACACCAATGGTTCAATGGATGACGTATCTGTTACTCTAAGGCTATAACTGGCATCCATTCCTGTGTAGGCCTATAAATTGGCAGGATCTGGGTTGGGTCAACCCTGACCAGTAGGGTCTGGATCCTACCTGACCTGGACTCGGACCCGACCAGGGTAAGGTCAACCCGGATCCAGACCTGCGGAAGGGCACACAATCAACTGGTTTGCATCAAGCCAGATTCGGGCCCAACCTGGATAGATCTGGACTGGACCCCTGACCCGGTCGAGTTTGGATCTATTGGACCTCGACCAATCCACAGGTTCCAGTGTTTGAGTCCAAAGTCAGACTCCATGTCGACAGGACCTGATTAGCACTCCTAATCCTGGGCATGAAAGGTTGCTTATTTTTCCTTGCCAAATCACTATGGTCTAGTCATAAAGAAAAGAGTCTCCACCACCTTTCTTTATATTCCCACATATATGGCTTCAACTGGTTTTGTTTTGACAGGTTTTCAATTCATTGAGGACAACGATGTTTATACTTGGCATGGTTTCAGTCTTTACTGGAATTTCCTTGTTAGCACCTGAGGATTCCAAGGGTATATTGTATATCCCTTTATGTTAATATATATAAAACACACACACACACACACACACACACACACACACATATATATATATATATATATATATATATATATATAAAGAGAGAGAGAGAGAGAGAGAGAGAGAGAGAGTGTCCTTTAACATCTGAATTTTTTGGACAGGCCATGAAACAAAGAATGCTCTTCCTATAACATCTCAACCTTCAAGCTTTACAACTGATCTCAGCAGGTAATATATTTCTTCTTCTTAGTTTCTTTTTAACATTGTCGCGTGGATTGGCATAGTTTGAAAAGGTCATTGTTCTTCTAACTCCATGTGGTAGATTTTGTTTATCTATAAAGATATATCTACACATGATTTGTATGAAGTTTCTAGGATAGTGGCAACTGACAAGTAGCCTTCTTGGAAATTGTTTACGATTTCGTTTGATTGTAGATATAAAAAAAAAAATATTTCTCGGTAAATTCTGAGGAAAATATTGGAGATAACTAAAAAAAGGAAAAATTACAAGAAATGGGAAACAAAATGGTAGAAAAACTGTTTCCTCTTTATAAACCGTTTTTTAATAGTTACACGTTTTAAAAAAAAATCATAATTTGTATCCTTCCTGTAACCTGAAAATCTTCTCATTTTCTACAAAGTTACTGGAAAAAGAAAAGGAAGAAGTAGAAGAAGAAAATGTTTCAATGACTACAAAAGTGTTGTTTTCTTCAATCTTGGTTTCCTCTCATATTATGGACTTCCAAGGGGAACCAACAAAATACCTTTATAAAGCTTTTAGTTTGTTTTCCTTTTTGGTGTATGGAAATCTTCTTTTCAGATCTTAATCTCACTCTTGTCACGTTCTTTTTTTTTTTTTGAGTTAACATGGGCTTGATGCTGCAGGTCCCTCAATTTAATTGAAAAAGACGTAAGAGACCCAAAATCACTAGGACATGCTGTGCTCACAAGGGCAAGAACCTTCACTATCAAAGCGAGGGTCTGTATTTGAACATTTTACACAACCGAAGAGCTCCCTCTCTCTCTTCCCACCCCCTGTCCCCCCTCTTCAATTTCTGTTTTCGTACTAATTGTCCATTGCATTGGTTTGTGCAGGCTGCTTGTACATTGTCCTTAGGCTTAGGCGAGGATCAGATCGGCGCTTCATCGGTTCTTACAATGCCCATGCTATCTTCTCGGATGACAACAAGTTTCAGAGGAAGTGATTTGGACCAAGAGAAATTCTTGTCCTTGAGAAACACTGGTTCGGCTAAGGGCTTGATAGAAGAGGATGGAAAAGAGATGGAGACCACTTCTTTGCTTATGTAAAACCATAGGGGCGACTGCATGATATGAAAAGAAGTTGTACTTAAGAGTAAAGCATTCAATACTAGTTATCTGATTCTTTTTTTCTTTAAATTGCATTTGAGATGTGTGTAATTATTGTATTTACCAAGATGAAGTTCTTTGGGACCCATTGTGTTTTTGGATCGCAATGGTCGACCATGGGTACCATCTAACGTTGCACCTATCCGTTTTGAAGAAAACTTGAAAATTCTTATGTTTGAACATCTTTTCTGTAAAGATCTCATTGCATCAATTGTGCTGTTCAAAGATCATGACACACCATCTTTCTGCTGTTCAAAGATCTTGAGACACCATCTCTCTCTCTCTCTCTCTCTCTCTCTCTCTC